CTGAGGATGTCACCTCATGTACACATGGGGAAACCGAGGCACAAGCACGTATCAGTGCCCCAAACCTTACCTAATATGGGCTACCCATGTCTGGCTGCCAAGCCATTCCTCATGGCCCTTGATACCTGCCCTGCCCTTCCCATCCAAAACGGGCTTCCCTGGAGGTAAGGAGAGCACAGCTCTCAGGGCCAGAGGAACAGCATCTGCAAGCCAGAGAGTAGGGGGTGAACTTGGAAGAGAGGCAGGGATGCAGCACAGTGACTGAGCCGGGGGCTTCAGCTCAGACCTGGGACCCCCCTGCCTGGACCAGGGCTGCAGCTCAATTATAGGATGGGACCATGGGTCCCAGTTCCTGGGCTGCAGCAGGGGAGCTACAGCCAAACCATGGGACTCTGTGCCTAGCCAAGGGCTGCAGCTCAGACCATTGGATACCCTACCAGGGCTGAGCAAGGTTTTTAACTCTGTAAACCCAAAGCTTCCTGATTGTTCAGAATTTCATCCTGATTTCTCGGGGGAAGGGAGTGGTCATTGCTATTTTTGGCCATATCCAGAGGAACAGAGACCCATGTTTGGGGCATAGTGAGCCCTCCCCATTCAGCCCTCAGCTAACAGCCATTGGATAAAACCTTCAGAATATCACATGCTCTGCAAAAAACAGCCCCCTCGCCCCCCCCCCACCTAAGCTGGTGGTCCAGCAGTGACCTAACAGTAGAGACGCACATTTCCAAGCTGCTCCAACCCCTCAGCAACCAGGCACCCCCACACATAGGAAAGCACTCAAACCTTTCCTTTAGCATTAACACAGCAAGTGTGGGGGCAGCTCTGATGTTGGGGCTGGCCTGGGCACCCAGTTTCCCAACACCCTCCTGTAGTAGGGCCTGGCTATGGAGCTGAGTGGACATTGTGGGGTGCACACACAGTGCCTCCCCAGGCTCCCAGGTCAGAGAGTCTATCTCCTGGTACCCCCAGGGCCTCCTGGCTCCCTTGGGGCACAGGCAGTCTCCTAAGACTTTCTGCAAACTCTCCCAGGCAAGAACATCTCTCTGGACATTTTCCTGGTCTTCACCAAGTGCCATCCTAGTGCCACCCACACCCTATTAATTGAGCTCCCATGTCCCACCCAGGCTCAACTTCCATCACAAGCTGCTCAGAGTAGATCACTGAGGAAATGGAGACTGAGCATTCATAGGGCCTTGGGCTGGCTATCCGGGCCTCCATGAACAGCAGGCTCAGAGAGGTCAGGCAGGGTTTAAATCCAGATCCTGGCCCAGCCTGTCTCATCTGTGGTGAGAAACCAGGGCCTGGTAAGAAGCCAGAGTCCTCTGCCTTTGAACGAGGAGGTAGCCAGCCCTCTGAGGTCTCTGGAGAGCCTGACCCCATCAGGCTTGTCCTAAGCCACGCCAGTGATGGTGACTTCTCAGTGCTGGGAGCCCTGCTGTCAGTACCACACCTTGAGGTGGGAAGGATGTGCCTGTACAGACTCAGGACTGAGAGAACCAGGGATCCATCCAGAGTCAGGAGCAAAAGACAATGCCTACCTGCCCAATCCTAGGCCATCTCTGCCTTCGTGTGTGTGAGGGTGCATGTGTGTAGCTATGTGCACATGTATGTAGTGTGGGTGTTTTGAAGCATGTTGAATCGAGGTGGACCCAAACCTTACTCCCCCACAGCCCGTCAGGACAGTTCCATGACACTCAGTTCTAGGTTCTCTATCTCCAGCCCCCCACACCTGGGAGCTGGGTTTGGAGACAGGTACCCCTGAGGCCCCAAACTCTGGCCCCAGGTCCTCTGCTCACTGAGGGGTGGGGGCTTGTGGGAGGCTCAGCTGGGAGCCGGGCTGGGGCCTCCATGTCCTGACCTGTTTGTCATCGCAGGCCCCGGCTCTGCAGCAGTACCGCACTAGTGCCGGCTCCCCGGCCAACCAGTCTCCCACCTCACCTGTCTCCAATCAAGGCTTCTCCCCTGGGAGCTCCCCACAAGTAAGGGATGCGCCACTCCATCCCCAGCTCACCTCGCCCCCCTGTGCCCTTGCCCGCCATCTGTGCCTCGTGCCTCACATCATCCCATCTCGTCCACTCCATGGGGCTGGGAGGTGAAAGCGCTGCCCCTCGTTCCTGCTGCTCCTCTGGTCTGTGCAAAGCTTCAGCTGGAGGTGGTGAGCTCCTCAGCCTGTTAAAGATCTCAGTGCCAGCCCTGGTCAGGTAGCTCAGTGGTTAGAGTGTTGTCCTGATACACCAAGGTTGTGGGTTTGATCCCTAGTCAGGGCACATACAGGATCTCAGTGTCAGCCACACCCCAGCTCCTCACCCATGATTGGGGACAGCCCCAAGTGTCGCTCAAACATGACATCAAATAGCCTGTTCACATGTCCTCACCTGCATCTGACCACCTTGAGGTCTGGTGTCTTGAGGCTTTTGAAAAGGGAGGGTATTCCGCTTGCTTTGGAGTACAGCTGATGGGACAGCCAGTTGTGCGGGCGCTGATTACGCACCCCCTTCCCTACCCTTTATCCCATAGGAAGATGTGTCCCCCAGAAAGCTTCTCTGAACAGTACTCTCGCCTGTCAGGTCCTGTCCCCCTTCCACAGATGAGGCAGGCTGACCCTAGGCCCTATGCAACAGGCAGGACTTGACCAACCCTCTCAGTTGCAGGTTACCCTCCCACACCTGGCACAATTGGTCCCTGATATCTAACATGCACATCCCCTGTCAGTGTGCAGCCTCTTGCTCCATAGGCAGGCCGGAAGGGTGGCAGTCAGCTTGGGACAGGCCGGGGCTTGGCCTGATGTCTCCATGCTCTCTGTTCATGCACCACAGCTCTGAGTTCTTATGGCTCCCAGAAAGTGGTCTCATCATGTGGTACTGGGGGATACAGCAGGCTGGAAAAGCTGAACTTGGCAGGTGCGGCAGCAGGTGGGACCTGTCCGAGATGGGCAGCCCTCCCTGGGGACAATCCCTGAGTAGCATCCCTCTAATTCAAAGCAGGACAGGAATTTGAGGGTAAAGTAGATTTCTTTCAGGAGAGATTTGTTTCCACCAAAGTGGTCCATCCCAGGCAGAGCCTTTTTCTGTCATGTCAAGCCACCATCTATGTGTCAGTCCATCTGTCAAGGGATGCAGGCTGCTAACAGGTGTGAAGACGAGGCCATCAGCGTCTCTGACCCCAACCAGAGACACTGGCTTAGAGGGACAGTGTGTTGGGCAGAGGGCAGACCTGACTTCCTTCTGTAGGTTGAGTCCTCCAGGACACAATCACCAGCCCCAAGGGCCTCTGCCTCCCAGGCCTGGAGGAGATGCACTGAGCCTCAAGCAGTTGAGATGTGTCTTGTGTGCTGCCTCCCTCTTCAGGTCTGAGCGGACCTTCCTGCAAACTCTCATGGCCTTCTCACAAGAGAAACCGTGCCCTGAGGTCCCCTGTGCATGCTGGGCCTCTCTGGGGCCAAGGCCACAGAGACAGGAACAGGTGCCTCAGAAGAAACCTGCCACCTCCTTCATGGGCAAACCCAGCCAAAACCTCCTTCATCCCCTTTTTTAAACCTGAAGCTGGTAATTTTTAACTCTTCCCTGGTGTTTGAATAGAACATTCATCCCCAGGAGCCTCCCTGCCCACCAGGGTAGCCATCTGTCCCTTTCTGCTCTCAGCCCACTGACCACCTGGCATAGCCGGGGGTTTGTGGCCAATCCTTGTCTGGAATGGAAGCCTGAGGCTCAAGCGTTGGCCAGTGTCAAGCATGTGGGGACCTTTCTAGAACAGGGAACTCAGAGGGAAGGTTGTAGACCTTTGATCTGTGGAGAAATTTGAGAAGATGCATGCCAGGCACACACATCACTTGTTTTTTGTTTTTTTTGTTTTGTTAATATATTTTATTGATTTTGTACAGAGAGGAAGAGAGAGAGATAGTTAGAAACTTCGATGAGAGTCATCGATCAGCTGCCTCTTGCACACCCCCTACTGGGGATATGCCCGCAACCAAGGTACATGCCCTTGCCCGGAATCAAACCCGGGACCCTTCAGTCCCCAAGCTGACGCTCTGTCCATTGAGCCAAACCAGTTTCGGCACACACATCACTTGTAACACCTGGGAATGGCCATGGTGCAGCAACTTCCATGAGATACCCTGTCCTGCAGGAGAGACACTTTGGGTCCAGGCTGGGAATATATCTGGTGTTTCATGTGCAGCCAGGACACACACCAGCCATCCCTTTTCTCCCTCCCACATCCTGCCAGGCTCCATCCTGCCATCCCTGGCAGTATCTCCAGAATGGGCAGGGGCTCCAAGCTCTATCTGGTGTCTCCACCACCTCTGAGGTCCTAGCCCCCTGCTTCTCTCCCAGGATCATCTCCCAGCCCCCTTCCCTGGTCAGCCTTGAACAAGCAGGAATGGGGCTGCATGCGTACCAGTGAGCTCTGGGGTCTCGAGGGCAGGCTTCCAGGAGTCAGCAGGTGAGAGGGGCTTTCTGAGTGCCTGTCCTATGTTTGTTCTGCACCCATCCTGTCCACATGTGTGGACAGGGGGTCTCACCAAGTGCTTGTCTCATTCTGAATATCTAGGGAACCTTGTGCCTTGGCTCCCGTTACATGCTTTCCTCTGGGACTTGTCGGGGTTCCTGATCCTCATAGTCCCCATTCCCTCATCTTCTGTCTGACAGAAAAGAGGTCACCTACATCTGAGCTTAAGGAACGGAGATGGGGGGTGGCGTTCTTGGGAAATGTCAGGGTGTAGAGCCACCCTGCCCCCAGCAGGCAGGAGAAAGAAGCCTGAGATGCGGGAGTTGCCAGCTCAGTGTAGGCGCCCTGGAATAGCTGTCATCCACCTCCCTTGTCTCGTGCATCCTTCGCTAGGTCTCAGGAGCCTCCCTGTGGGATCAACTGGCCTGTAGGAGCTCCCCTCCTCCCCCCAACCTAGTCTTGGGAATCATGACAACAGCAAGCCTCTCTTCTATCTGCAGCACTCTTCCACCCTGGGCAGCGTGTTTGGGGACTCGTACTATGAGCAGCAGATGGCGGCCAGGCAGGCCAATGCTCTGTCCCACCAGGTGAGCGGGTGCCCGGGCCATGGCGCCCTCAGCAAATGCTTGCCCGGACCCCGCCCGCCCTCGGGAGTGAGCTCTGCTCCTAGCACCTCCTGTCTACAGGCAGTGGAGCATGTGACTGCCTTTGCCTCCCCTGGCGTATGCATCTGGTATGTCAGTGAACGCCAACAGGGACAGGCAGTGGCTGTCACGGTGGCATTTGGCGTGGGCCATGCATGTGAGTTTGCGGGAGGTCAAGTTGGCTTTGTGTGGAGGCCAGAATCAGGCATGTGGGCACAGGAGGGGTTGGCCGCTGCCTGGAGCTGGTTACTCAACCATTTATCCATTTATCCATCCATCCATCCTGCAAGCCCTGAGGGTGTGTATGTGGGCAGGCCCATGTGGATTAGGAGAGGGCAATACCCCAGGCAGAGGGACTTGTGTAAGCAGCCCTCACGAGGGTGGACCTAGGCATCCTGCAGAAGAGGTGGTCCCGAAGTCTCAGGCAGCCCATCCACAGCAGCAGTGCTCAGTGGCCAGCCTCACACCCTGTGTCCCCTCCAGCTGGAGCAGTTCAACATGTTGGAGACCGCCATCAGCTCCAGCAGTCTGTACAGCCCAGGTTCTACACTCAACTATTCGCAGGCGGCCATGATGGGCCTGACGGGCAGCCACGGGAGCCTGCAAGACCCACAGCAGCTTGGTTATCCCAGCCACAGCAGTATCCCCAACATCATTCTCACAGGTGAGGTCCTGTATGAGGTGTCCTGGGCAGGGGTCTCAGTCCCGGTGTCCCTGTCATAGGTCTCAGCCCTGGGGGAGATGGAACTCCCTGCCCTGTAGGGTGAGTCATGACACAACTGAGGTGTCTTTGGTGTGGACCCAGAGAGACCAGACCCCTGTTTTAACTTTGATTCGCTGCTGGGCTGCAGACTGGCAAGAGGGACATACACCTGGACCCCACACCAGGCATACAGCACCTTGTGCTCAGATCAAGAACTAAAGAGAGCCAGTCACTCTCCCAGCCCTATGCCTGCCACCCAGGCACCCGAACATGTTAGCTGAGTGTGTTGGGAACATAGGTGACCATGGCAGAGGGTGAGCCCTGCATGACAGGGGGGGTGCTTCCTGTGGAGTCAACAGGAGTGTAACAGCTTATACATGCTGCCATGTGTGTCTTAAAAGGCCAGAGTATAGTGCCAGGTGCCTGGGAACATGCACAGTGTGTGTGAGGGAGTTCTGCTCCATGTAGCAGAGCCCAGACCTGTGAAGCCCTCTCCATCTGATCACCCTGCTTCCCTCCACTGAAGGTTCTTGGTTTTATTGAAGAAGGAAGAAGTTTTCTAATAATCCAGGGCTGTGTGGGACCTCCCTTGGTGGTCCCCATGATGGGTCTATGCCCAGAGTTCCCCTTCCCCCCAAGGACGGGACCCCAAGTATAGACCCAGTACTTCCTACCCTGAAGGTGCCTCAGGTACCCGAAGAGGACCAGGCCCCCATGATGACCCTGACAGTCCAGAAAGATGGATACTTTTAAACGTGTGTGTTTATTGATTTCAGAGAGAGAAAGAGAGAGAGAGAGAGAACGAACATTAATGAGAAAGAATCATTGATTGGCTGCCTCCTGCATGCACACTGGTAACAAGCCCACAGCCCAGGCATGAGTCCTGCCCAGGAATTGAACTGTGACCTCCTGGTTCACAGGTTGACAACCACTGAGGAACTCTGGCTGGTCAAGATGGAGACTTTTATACTGGTTCCTAAATGGGGAAACTGGTAGAAGAAGGGGTCCAGGTTTGAACTAGAGTCTCTGTATAGGAACCAGACTTCCTCCATGCCACAGGGAGGGCCCTAGATGCACATGCCCAGCCTGCTGCTCTGACAGGAGGGGACTTCCTGCTGATGTCTGGGCTGGATCTCTTTGGGTAGGGCCAGCCTGTGCGTTGTGGTGTTGAGCAGTGTCCCTGGTCTCCACATAATGTTAGTATCACCCCCTTCCCCAGTCCTGGCAACTAAAAATGTTCCCTGGGGTAGCCAAGCCCTCTTCCCTGATGTGGGGGTAGGGAACCAAGACTGAGTTGACTTTTGTGTCCCCCTAATTCAGTGACAGGAGAGTCCCCTCCCAGCCTCTCTAAAGAACTGACCAGCACGCTGGTTGGGGTTGGTGATGTCAACTTCGACACTGACAGCCAGTTCCCTCTGGATGAACTCAAGATTGACCCCCTGACCCTGGATGGACTGCACATGCTCAATGACCCTGACATGGTCCTGGCCGACCCGGCCACCGAGGACACCTTCCGGATGGACCGTCTGTGAGTGCACACCCAGCACTCTGCTGCCTCGCCGCGGCTCCGTCACCCCGCCGGTCAGTGGTCCCAACGGAGTCTCCCTGAGCCCAGGGGCTGCACACTCTGTCCCTGCAAACGGCCGAGCTTGTGATTCTGAGCTTGCAATACCGCCAAGCACCCCCTCCTGCCCTCCCTCGGCTGTCCACCTTTCTTGGGAGGCTGTGAGTTGCCCTCTAGGACTACCCCCTGTGCACACTCTTTCACCTCCCACCCCAGGCCACGAGCCATCAGTCCCTGTAAGATGCAGAAAGCATGTTGGGCAGGGCCACAGGCCTGGGGGTACCGGGGTCTGCTCCTCACTGTGGTGGGCAATGTGCATTTCCGACTGTTGTCCAGCTCTCACTGCCTTCCTTCATCCCTGGTTCCTACCCTCCACCCTTGCACCTGCCACCCCCAGGTTGTGGTTAGGTAGAGAGCCATCCCCACCGACAAAAGAGAGAGAACGCCAGAGAGTGGGATAGACCCAGTGCAAAATAAACACTATTTTGACTGCTGTCTTTTATATTCCTGAGCAAACAGAATGCTAGAACCCTTCTCATGGGGGTGGATGTAAACAGAGCAGCTAGATCTTCCCAGCCTCCTCCCACCTCACCTACCCCCACACCAGGTCCTTCTGGGGCTGCCTCTGTCAGGAAGCCGCTGGCCGGGATGACAGGACCTGCCATAGAACGAATGTGGGAGTCGGGTTATTTCTAGGGGTGGGTTTAGAACTTTTCATCTTTCCTGCTCTGTACTATGGTCACTGTTACTGTTATTTACAGACTAGTGGGAAGGGGGTGGCCAGGGCATTTTTGTTGTATTTTCTGTTGTTTCTTTCGGTATGTGTTTGCATTTTGGCTGTAGATGAGTAGTTGACTCCTTCAAGCCAATACTTGCCTGAGAGCATCTTTTTATTCCTGAAATACTGCATTGCATATGTTTTAAAGCTAACTGGAAGCAGTCTGCCATCTGAGCTGTGACCCTAGCCTCATTAGTTTCACCTCAAGTTATCTCAAAACAGAAGGGTTGAGTGGCTGCCAGGCGAGGACTCTGACAGAAGCTTGGGTAACTGGAGGTGCCTTTTCTCTGGCTACGTAACAGACTTCTGGAAAGGAGCCAATGCTTTTAAGGGCCTGGAGAAGACCCGGCTCTGCCTCGCCCTAGAGGTGCCCGCCAGTCCTCCGGGCTGGTGTGTCCCAGACCCTGAGGCTGGCAGCAGCTGTGGCCCCTCTGTTCCTAGACACCCCAGATGAGGCTGTCTCTCATCCCCATCCTGAGAACCAGCTGACACTCATCCCCCTGGCCACGTCTGTTGTCGCTCCTCCTGGTAGGACTGGGTTTGGAGGCCAAGAGCAGCATGCTTTTAGTAGTGGGTTTCTAGGTGCTTGCTTCTCAAAGTGCCTTGATAGGCAGTGGTGACCATCCCTCTGCCCTCAGGCCCTTCGAGGGGGTGACAGGCTGGCTCTCTTTTCTGTTGGCAGCTTTACTAGGAATCTCTGTTTCAGTCCCCAAGTTGCATCTCAACTTACTCCTCCACATGCTGTTGAGCTGACACTTCTGCCTGGTGTGCTTCTTTGTGGTGTCAGAGGCCACCCTTCTGCCTTGGCCTCGAGAGCCCTTTCACTGGGAGCTGGATTTGATCCTAGCAATTGTCCCTCCTTTTCACTCCTTGGCCAGGCTGTTAGCACGTATCCATGAAGCTGGGCAGCCACACTTGTGAGAAGGTCTCCCTCCCCAGTCACTTGGCCCCGCCACCATTGTCTGGGTTTGAGGAGCACAGTGTCAGTCTGTCCAGGTCCAGGGCCTATCCTTTTTCTGTGGCGGGGACTGGGGACATAGATGGGGACTTTTTAAATAAAAAATAAAAAAAAGAACATCTAGATGTACATAGAAGAGTTTGGTTACCATTAGACTTGTATGTAGAACTTTTTAAAAAATGGCCTTAATAAAATTACAAGCAACCTTCCTGGATGCAATTTTCAAACAAGGCTTTGGGATCCAGTGAGGGAGCCTTGTCAGCCCACGCTTCCCATCTGTCCAGCACCAGTTCTAGGTGCAGACAGACAGGCGAGGCCCATGGCCTGGAGCACAGGTGACATTGTATTAACATGCATCCTCTGCCTATGAGAGGTGGAGGTGCAGAGCTATCCTCGGAGGTGGCCCCACCGGGAGCCAGCGGCCAGGCATCTCCACGTCTTCCTGGGCCTTGGGAGGCCTCCTGGGGTCTGCAACAGGGAATTTGTGGGGTTGTTTTTTGTTTTTTTTTTCTTAAATATCACTTCTCTACTAAATATTCTTGAGTTGCCAAGACTTTCTGAGGCAAGACAGCATAAGGGAATCAGTCTTCTGACTTGTGATGTGAAAATACTGTGATTTTAGGTAAGCTGCACCAAGAGGGGCGGGCCTGTGCCTATATTCTGTATGTAGACCTACCGCCCGTGTCCTACTCGAATAAGCTCGGGGCAAGACTGGACTCCAAGCCTTGACACTGAGCCCACCTGGGCTCAAAGGCCATCCAGGTCCCCCGACTGCCTTCTTCCTACTGCTCTTGGCTTTAGCTGAGTCCCCTCAGCTGTGCAAACCTTTCCTCTGGGAGCTCAAGCTGCTTGGCCTAATCCCTGTCTGCCTCAGCTTACCCTCTGCCCTCCAAGTCCCCAGGGCAATGAGTTTGTCCCTCTACGTAGCTCATGGGCTGAGATGAATCCTGGGATTAGCAGCTCTCTATGTTCTCCAGAGAAGAGGGTTGTGCCTAGGACTGACTGGAGGAGAAGACAGGGTCTCGGGATCATATCCCCCATCACAGGTGCCCATGCTGACCTCCCCGCTCCATGCCCTTACAGGGGGAAGACAGGCAGCGCTGTTTGGAGCGTCCTGCAGCCCCCTCCCCTTGATACTTCTGGGCAGGAAGGGTGAGTGCCAGTCTCTTGGGGCAGAGGTGCTTGAGATCCTCAGTGGAAAGCTCGGGGCAGGTCAACCCCTCAGCAAAATTTGGGGACTCATAGCCAATGGTATTCCAATGTTGGCCAGGCTCCCCAGTGGGGACAAGCCACAGTAGAAGGGGCCCTAATTAAAGTGGGTCCAGCCCCGCCACTGGTTCACAGGGGTCCCTGGGACCAGCTATCGAGGGCAGGGCTGTGTGCTTCTTGACTTTTCCCCAGAGATGCTTCCCCACCCCCTTGCGTGCGCTGGACTTTTTGGCCCTCTATGCTATTATCTGCTCATAGGTTTTCATGGTGAAGGAAGGTTCCGAGTGGTTAGTGTGTTTGACCTGATTTTCCTTGGCCAAACTCCTGGAAGGACATCCAGTGGGGTGGTCTGCTGTGAGGCCCATGTGTCACATGAAGTGGGTGAGGTCAGCTCTGTCAAGTGAGGCACTGCTGGAGGGCAAGGGGCCCCCTACCCATTCATGCATTCTGCTGGGGCCAGATGTTCAGTGCGGGGGACCTTGTCTGTCAGGTTTCCTGGGCCTGATGAGTGCCTATGAGCAACTTTCACTAAGAAGCCACGGGGCCCCTGAGCTGATTATAACCAAACATCCATCCAACGCCCCTTCCACTGGACTCAACTTTGTTTTTCCACAGGAGTCACCCCCAACCCCGTATGAGGTTCTGGAGGCTTTAGGGGATTGACAAAGCAGCCCTGGGTTCTGATGAAGCTGTGGTCAAAGCTTTGGGGGCCCAGGGTAGGACTTGGCTATGGGGAGCTCAAGGTCTGTGGTACTGGGCACCCTGGTCCTGGCCCATCACTCCTGCGGTGGCGTTCCAGGTGAGGGGTCTGTGGCTACCTGCGCCCTCATGTGGCCTGCAGAGCTGGGGGAGGACTTAGTGCCTCACCTTCTCTGGGAGGCTTGCCTGGACTAAGTGTGCAGCTGGGTCTGTTTCTGTCCCCTTTCTTTTTGGTCCCTGGGCTTCCACTCCTGGGGGGTCTCTCAGTTTTATGTGACTAGGGGCCCCTGTGACATTCCTTCAGGGGTGCTGGTTGAGTGGGGCTCATGCCTTTCATTACCCACGTGCCACAGGCAACTGGGCACTCCCCAGGAGAGGGAGGTAGGGTGCTGGGGTACTCCTGGAGAGCAGAGGCAAGACCCTTGTGAACTGGGCCGAAGTTTCCCTCCTGTTTACTGGCTCAGATCCATGGGTCTCAGGGCCCCTCCCAATCAGGGTGAATGAAGGGCAAGGGTTGTATGTCAGGGTAATGCTGGCTGCAGATGGCTCCCTCTGCTTTCCATCCTCCTGGCCAGTTCCCAGCACCTCATCCCAAGGAGCCAGGTTCTGGAATTTGGGGGCAATTGATGCCCAGCCCACCCTAGCCTGTCACTTCTGACCTCTTGCCTGCTCGGACAAGGGGACACTGCCATGGCCTTCCCCACTGGGCCCTGGGAGGGAGGCCTTTGGCAGCCAAGGTCCATTGCCCCCTAATGTGTCCCCCCAGGAAATTGCCCCCAAGGGGTCTGGGTGGGACTTTAATATATGCAAACTCATCGGTCTGAGCCCTGCCCCACCTGTGTCCCTCTGTCCCCAGGCTGGCTCTGCCCCCACCCCCACCCCAGCATGTACACTCTGCTGTGGATGTCCATGGGCTGTGCGTGTGGGTGCCCGTGGCGGGCTGGGGCGGGCGGCTCAGGGCGCACTCGGCCAGCCCCTGCCTGTCCTCTGGCGTGGACGCTTTTGTCTTTGTACCTTTGCATCCTTTGTAATGAAACCTAATAAAAACCCAACGTTTTCGTCTCTGCCTCCTCCCCTTTTTTCCTACCCCTGTTCTTCACCCAGAGATGAAATATGGGTGTCACAGGTACACCTGGTGGGAACCACACGCACACATGAATATGGACACACAGATGTGCACCCCTCACAATCTCACCCTACTAGCCAGCTACTTGGACCTGTGTCCCGGAAGGGGAACAGCCAACCCCCCCAGGATCCTGGAGCAGACACTTCAGGGGTGGGTGAGCTGCAGCAGCTGGACACTGCTAGTTAGTTCGGAGGGAAGTCAGCAGTAAGGCCAGACTCCACCATCTCCCCAAGGAGAGACCACAGCCACCATCCTGCCGAACACACTTTATTCTGTCCTCCCCGATTTCTTCCCTTCCCCAAGGTTGGCTGCCCCTCAGTGCTCCAGGCCTGAGGGTGGCCGTCATCTAATGGCAGGTCCCCCATCCCATCCCTAGGCCTGCAGCAGCCCCTGGGTCTCATAGTCTTCCGGGATGGTGTCTGTGGAGGGAGAGAGGATAGGCGAGTGAGAAAGGGTAAGGCCAGCAGGGCAGACCTGCTACCTAGCAGGCCCTCCCCTCACCCCGCCCCTTACTCTCTCCTCTTACCATTGCAGCGGTAGCGCAAGTTGGCCCAGATGATGTTCTCCTGGGAGAAGCAGAAGACACCCAGGCGGCCACCCCGCATAGTTGTGTCCAAGACCACATTGCTGTCAGCCACCAGCTCAGGGCCCTCGTAGAACCGCACCCTGGGGGAGGGGAGGGAGACGGGACAGTGAAGCACCTCAGCGTTGTGGCGTCCTGCCCTGGCAGGTGGGCCCCTCCCATCTCGAGTGGGGGGCCATGGATCTCTCCTGCCTGACCCATACTCAGAGCAGGTGGGGTTCCTGACTGGAAGTTCAGTTTCCCTGTGTGAGAGAATGGATATCCAGGATCCTGTACACAGTGGGTGCTAACTGGATTTCCTGCACAGAATAGGGATTGAGAAATGGGGTGTGGGTGAGACCCCACCTTCTACCTGAGGCCCCACTGTGTGCTGGGTCCTAGGTGGGGTGTCATGTTCCAGGGCCAGTCACAGTTCATTCTAGCTGCCTATGTTGTACCTGTTTTACAGACAAGGGGACCAAGGCCCCCAGAGTCCCTCCTTCCAGGGGCCAGGGTGGAGCAGGGACTCAGTCCCCTGGCAGGGTTGGGGTCCCCACCTGATGTAGCCCACTTGGGGCCGGTGCTGCAGGAACCAGCGGTAGGACGTCTTGTCCTTCCAGCCCACGTTGCGGGGATCCTTCCACAGCAGCCGCACCTGTGATGCTGTGTCCCCCGTGTGCCACAGCGCATTCCGCAGCTGCTCCCCAGGGCCCGTGGAGGATTTCACAGCCTGGCATGCCCGGGAACAGGAGCAGAGGGTCAGAGGCCACGGAGGCCGCTGGGGCCTCTCAGAGCCCTGCCTGGTGGTTCCTTCAGGTCATGGAGGAATGATAGCAGACTTGGTGGGGGTGGGGGGGGGGTCTGGATCGGAAATCCGCCTGGAGCACCACATGGGAGATTTGCAAGTGGGTCATGGCGGGTAACTGGTCTGGGGACTCCTAAGAGGGTGTGGAAGTCGGTGAATAGGTTTGGAGTCTGGGAAGATTAGGGGGTCTGGGAGAGGATTTAGTGACCTGTAGAGAGTGTTGGGTGTCTATGGAATAAACGGGGGTCTAGAGGATTTGGGAAATATCTGCAACGTAGTCTGGGGGGCCTGGGGGATTTGGAACCTGAGGGAAAGCTTAGGGCTCTGCGAGAGGGTTTCAGGGCCCAAGAGATGACTGGGGGTGCTGGGTGAGGTTTTGGAGGTCTGGGAGAGGAAACGGGAGGATTTGGGGGCTATGGGAATCCAGAGGAGAGATGAAAGTGGGTAGGAAGACTTTGAGTGATGCTGGAGGGCTGTGAAAGCTTTAGGGTTCGTGGAAGGATATAGGGGCTTGCTAAAGACCATGGAACAGGAGGTCAGGAGGCCCCCGCCCCCTGCACACCTTGAGCTGGATTCCAGGTTCAGCCACAGCACGGAAGGGGTTGGCCTGCCAGTAAGTCTGCTCCATCTGCTTCCACATGACCACGTAGAAGCTCGAGCTGTCCTGGTAGCCAAAGATGAAGCCAGCGTAGTCATCGTCCGTGACGGTGTTCACATGAAACGTGCCTTCGAAGTCCACGCCATTGAAAGCAGTGTAACCTGGGCAGATAGGAGACCAATGGGATCCTGGACTCCCCAGAGCCACCCCACCCCCAGAGCCCAGCTTGGCCCCTGGGCCCAGACTACCCTCTCAGTACACCCACCCCATCCCTACCCTCTGAATCCAGACACAGCCATGCTCCTGAGCCCTGAACCTGCCTCAGCCACCCTGCTCTTGCCCAGACCCAACCTGACCTCGCCCCACCCTCCCTCTGGCCCTGGCCCTGAGCGTCTCCCTGCAGAGCCTTTCCCCTCCCAGCGTCTCACCCACAGCCAGGCCAGGGTCGCTGTTCATTGTCTGCACAATCTCCATCCCCTAAGGAAGACAAAGGAAGAAGGGCCTCAGCCTGGCCACGGGGCCCTCAGCTTTCCAGCCCCTCGCTTAGCACCCTAAGCGGGGGTTCTGAGTTCCTCCCACCTTCCGCCTGGTCCCTGCTCCCACCTGGTTGAGCACCACCCAGTTGGGGTCTATTTGTGCGTCTCCCTCGGGGTCCAGCACCACCGTCTGGAAGGCCCGGAAATCCGTGAGGGTGATCTCGGCATTTTCCGGACAAACATCGATCTTGTCCACCACCTTGTCAGCGTCGAAGTCGTCCTGGCACGCATCACCTACGCCATCCCCTGAGAGGAGGTGGGAGACCCTGGGGTGGAGAGGTCAGCGCCAGGCTCCCCACTCCATGCCTAGCCCCGCCCACTCCAGCGACTGGCCACGCCCACACCTATTGGCCACCACCACGCCCATTTGAAAACCTGCCCCAGTGACTCCACACACCCTGTCCCACCACGGGTCCCACCCCCTGCCTTACGATCTGAGTCTTCCTGGCCCGGGTTGGGCACCAGGCGGCAGTTATCCTGATTGTCAGGGATTCCGTCGTTGTCGTCATCCTCATCGCAGGCATCACCCTGTCCATCGCGGTCTGAGTCCTGCTGGGCGCTGTTGGGCACTGTGGGGCAGTTGTCCCGAGAGTCCTGGTGCCCGTCCCCGTCCCTAGAATCGGGGAGGGAGGCAGAGAAACAAGGAGATTCTCACAGTGCCCGGTCAGGGGCTACCCATCCTGAGCCCCATCCCAGTTGGCCTCCTTACTGGTCTTGGTCGCTGTCACAAGCGTCTCCCACAAAGTCGTGGTCCACATCCCTCTGGGGAAGGGGGGGGGTGCAGGGGTCCACAATCAGAGCAAAGGAACTCAGAAGCCTCCAACCCAGGCCCAAGTTCAAGAGCAAAGGTCCTCCTGACCCCAAGGAACACCCATCAGCTGCTTTGGAATGGGCGGCAGATTTGTTAACAGCCTGGAGCGCAAGCCAGGGGTCTGACCCAAGTGGGGTCTGACCTGCCCTCACCTGGTCTGGATTGCTCTTCTGGGGACAGTTATCGCAGACATCCCCTACACCGTCACCATCACTGTCCTTCTGGTCTGAGTTGGGCACCCTTGGACAGTTGTCCGCTGGGTTTCGGATCCCTGTGGAAAGCGGGGGAACAGGACAGGACCCAGAGATCAGGCTGGGCCAGGCTGACTTCAGCAGGGCAAGTGCAAGCCTGGGGCAGAGTCCTACCCTCTCCAGGCTCCCAGTGACTACAAAGTAGGCCCAGCCTCACAGACTTCCTGAATAGATGGCCACGGAGGGGACTGGCCCTCACTAGGGGGCAGCTCAGCCAGGCCCTCTCCTTGCCCTGTGAATGCACCCCTGAGCTTCTATGCCCCAAGTGTAAAAAG